TTTTTAACAGGACTCCTAATCTTAAGATCTGGAATTGAACCTATGTGGTAAGAGTTATAACGCTCTACTCCAACGGTGCCCCGCTCCATCTAGGAGTATAAATGCACACCAGCAACTTAGAAGCAGCTATGTAAGGAAGGAGTAAGTATTTTAGTTTTATTCCGCTTTCCTCGAGCCATCTTCTCAGCAACATTTGCTTCATCTGAAAAATGCAGGCATACTTACACTTCTCACATTGCCTCCCAAAGAATCCTGGTGGGCAGGTGCATTTGAAGTCGTATGCCATCTCGACTGGTCGACAAGTCCCTCCGTTCTCGCACGGATCGAGCTCGCAGGGGGCCTAAGGAGAACCGACAATCTGACTAAGGGTAAATGTGACAGGAAGTCTGGGTTCCTAGAGGCTCAGAGTTGTTGTGGTATCCTCACAAAGCTAGGCAAGCGGAAGATTTCTCATAGCCGATAAGATTCACTAAGGTCGATTTTCCTGTTCGACGACAGATCGATTTACCGTCGAGATATCGATTCTTTGCAACAAAGGCAGTGACTTGCTTCTCTGAATACACGTATTTTTTTTTTTGGACAAATAATTGGATAAAAGGAGACACAAAACATTGTGCAAATATCGCTCCAATGAAAACTAATGAAACTTGCTAAAATCCCTGCATTGAATAAATGCAAAAATTCAGCAGGTAAAACAAAATTTTCCCTTTTTCACCATCAAAAATTTCAATTTATGTCGATGTATTTAGATTTGCACTCAGCATTCCTCAAGTTGTCATAGTGTCAAAAGGAAGAAAGGCAGCTTTCTCAAAATAACATAAATAATTAATCAAATCCGAACGAAAAATTTCCATACGTAAGGCGTTGGTCTAACGTTGGAGATATGATATTGTCAGAAAATTTGACTAAAAAATGCCACATCCATAAAAATATTAAGTCGAAGTATATTATGTATGTCTCACCCAAATGCGAACTAGGCTGGTTTATAAGAAGAACTTGAGAGCATAAACGTAAATTACGCAATTTTTTTCTAAAAAGGTTTCCTAAATTTTAAGTCAGGGTGCACTTCATTTTAAAAAAAAAGGTTTATTCAAGTTTGAAGAAAAACTAAAAATAATTATATAGTAACAGATGACTTAAACAATTTTTCCAAAAAAATAGATAGAGATCCTTTCTAATAAAACTACCTGCTGTCCTTATAGATAGCACAACACACACAAAAGTATTCAAATAGGGATTTTTTTTTATCAAAATACTCACCGTCACACTGAAGTGATGAAAATCCAAACTTGCACCAAATAGCTTCAACGACTTAAATTTGTCAGTATCCAAGAGGTTACAGAGAAATTTTCCATGTAATTTAGAACCTTTGAAATTCAACGATCGACATCGAGGGTTCTCTGTACAAGCTTGAAGGCAGTCTTGTTCTCCATAAACGAAGAGAGATTCAAATGGTGTAGCGTTCAGTAGATAATTAGGAAACGAGAAAAGATTGGCAAAGCTTAAAATTCCGTTAGAAACATCGACAGAGCTTTTGTAATCAGTAAATATTGCTTCTTTAAACTGAAAGAAGAAAATAAAGACAAAAGTTGTGCAGTACAGCTTCAAGGTCATGTTTTTGCAGCTGTAGTTGAGTTGTTCGATTCAGACGGATGAAATTGAACTGTTCAGTGTAATCTCAGACAAGAACATTTATTAAGTTACCATGGTAATAAAGATATTTTGTAATTAAGCATAAAGATAATTTTATCATGTTTACAAACCTAAATGAAAACTTAAACGAGGTCGAGAGACATACAGACAGTAATGAAACCCGACACGCTGTTAGAGGATTGTAAAATATTTCGAGAATTCTCCAACACCCTTGACAGTTTACACGAGGCTTTGTAAAGGCAGGAAAATACGTCCGTCACTTTCATAAAATATTCTCAGTTAGACACACGACTTAAACACCGCATTGTGTAAACACATTCTCATTCAAACACACTTATCGATCAATGAAAGCGCGTATAATATCTTAAATATTTCATAAAAATACTTGAATGTTATGTTTAACGTAACGTAATGCTTATTAGCATAAAAAACAGCTTTTTTTCCAATTTTAAGTCAGTAATTAATAATGTAAATGACTCCCATGAACTTAGGGCAGATAAACGAGTGGTGATTATTATTACGCAATACGCGTGGGTCGCACAGCATCCGCAAGTTTCACATCCCAGCGTTGCAGTTTTTAATGATTTAGACTACGTGCGCTCATGTTTTCCTCTCTAATTAAGTCACTTCTAAATAATCATCTCGACCACAAGCTCATTCAACTTAGAAGACTTATCGTTGAATCATGGCTGCTAGTTTTACATTGATCAAATCTCATCAGTTTGAGCTGAGCTGAGACCTTGCACGTGATGAAAAGTATGTCAGCTAATTCACATCACTAATTACTGATATTTATCATCTGAATAAAATTTAAACTTGCCCATAGTCTCCGAAAATCAATATACCTAAACATTTGACGTATTAAGCTGTTTTTCCAGTTTTAAGTGTTAGGTATATTTGTAACTATGGTCATCAAGTGGAATTCTTGTTATTAAATTCTTTAAAGACCATTTTACAGTTTTACAATTAAGTACATTTATTGTTTTTTATCTGCTGTTTCACCTACGTGGGAGTTTGTCTTAATTGCTACAGGTGGGCATTTTTGTTAAGATAGCACCAGTTTTAACTAAGACATCCTTTCAATACCAAAATATCAAACTAGCACCATTATTTTTTCTGTACACATCTCTCAAAACTTCACGTGAACAGGAGATCGTTTTTAGTTGTTATGTTGTGCTCTTACAACCTCTTCCTTATCAGAAAAATGATGGTCAGTCATACGTCGATCAAATTTATGAATTCAAAATTATCACGTCTCTAATGAAACACCACCTGGCAATATGTAAATTTGCCAAATAACCAAATATCAAGGGTGTAAGTTTTTGTAGCCTTTTGTAGCCTATCACTTAGATTATGAGCTTGAGAATTCTATCTCGTGATATTTGATAAAAGTTGATGGGGGCGAAGGCCAAATCCGCTATCATACAAAGGTATCGAGATCGAATTATCCAACTGTCTTAGTATAAATATATCAGCCGTCAAAAAAATAACAACGAAATAGGCTCGACCACACAAAGTTATTCATTTCATCCACTATCAAGGATAAGACAGTCAATCAGATTGTAGTATTAAATTTGTGATAGAACGCTGATATTCATTAGTTTACAGTTTTCCCTTCCCACCCCACCCTCCACCCTAATTTATCTCATTTTCCCGCGAGTTCTATTGTTGTCAGCGGTCTACTTGATTTCGATTATGTATGCCTGCCAAAACGGAATCGAGCTCCAAAGGGAAAACTCGTCACAGAAAACATAGAGGTTATGCTGCATTTTTACGACCTTTTATGAACGATAAATTGGTTACCTGAGTAAGGAGGTTAGTAAAGATGTTTGCTGAATTAGATATGGAGTAAAAAAAGAGCAAAATCCTGCAAATGACTTAGTTAAGAGGTCTTTGGCGTATGTATGTATATGTCATTTCGTCTTCTGGACAAAGAAGCTCTGACTTTATCTTCAAAGTGTGCTTCTGCATATGTTTTCGACCTTTTTTAAGCTTCTTGAAGTCCATCGTCGTCTTATACAATGTCCATATCACTCTAATGTCTTCCAGATAGCTTTTAAATGCGTTTGAATCGGCTAAAAATCGCCGAGTACAAATCAAGTTCAAAATATCTTAGGTTAGATGCTGTGAGAACTCGATCCATCGTGCTTGCATGCTTTAAATTACCCGTGACATGCTGATCCACAACATCGGACTATAATTTTTTGGCGGTAATTATTTTGGGATTGTTGATATGCAATAGTATTCTTTCTTGACTGAATCAACAAGTTATACACTGTTCAAAGCAGCAAAATTGTTTTACCTAGATATTCTACACTGGGTTATGACACCTTTTAATTGAGAACCTGTTGTCCAATCAACTCCATCACATTAATCACAATCAAATTAAATCTCTGACACAAATTTAAATCTAATTTAAGTTTTTTTTTATTTCACCTTTTAACTGCTACTCTCAGAGTGATTAACATGTAACTTCTCGGTATAATATCCATATAGTATTCAGCAAAAAGGTAATGAAAATCCTAAAAATTATCGAAAGTTGTCACCTTGATTTAACACCAAATTCTTCTAATTATGAATTAAGAAGTGAGTTGAGGATCATACAGACAAGAGTCAGAGTTGTAAATTATTTGTACGATTAAGATGGATTTGAAAAATGTAAATTGCTGTTACAAGCGAATGTTGTCGTGCCTTTTAGGTTTTAGTGGCATTTTGAGGAATTTCAATCATTTATGATAAGTTTTGCAAAAATACACATCTATGCATGGTCAGTTTTATAAAACGTTAATATGGTGTCTAATAAAGCTATTTCACCACCTGTTGCTAACCTGTTGGTTACCTGTCGAATCAACAGTTGGTAAAAAGCCTGGATTGGAAGTCGAGGTTTAAGCCAAGGGAAAATTTTCAAAAGTACCATAAAGCTGCTCAATCTATTAATTCAACTAATGCATAAGTAATACTTTCCTCATGTCAAATGGAGAAAAGTGCTTTTATATTCTTCGTTATGAGTCAATTTACAAAATTCTTTAGGAGAAAAGTGTTTATATGTTTCAGCTTTTAGGATCACATAGAACTGAAACTTCAACTTGATTCTTTTTTTCAAGAAATCCCTATTTGGATTACCTTTAACATTAACCGGTAGGTACATGCACCTTAGAGCAAAACTTAGCCCTACCCTGTTATTTATGACATTTTTGTTTACAAATATGATCCTTGGAATTTTGTCAACTAAATACAAAATAGGTATATCAAAGAAACAGTTTGGGCTCACTCTAAACAGCAGAAAAAAATTTGTTGTAACTTTTTTGCTGTATGAAAGTCACATAAACCACACTTTACACGGAAAATCGTTTTTAATCAGTTTTTAGTCTTCCTTAGGCTACAAGAAGTGCAGTGTTGAAAATATTCAAACTGCTGTTATCACAAGACTTCAACGCTTATGATGTCCTAATATGGATAGGGTTTATCATATATCTGATTACAAAATAACATAGGCAGATACGTTAAGCAAAGTTGAAATCACTGTAAACTTCGGTGACTTAGCTTTTACATTTCTTTGAATTATACCCATATGATTTTACATATTCTCTTCAAGGGGTTGGTATGTCCGCTGATAACTAAAAGTCCAGCGGCTGAGAGATTCTCCAAAGATTGGCCGAGAAGCGAAGCTTCGTGAGGAAATGTGAAATTTTGGAGTTCTACTGATTTCCTTGTGGCGTCGACCATAGCCTTATCAATTTTTTATTTTGTAGCAGTCATAGAGTTACATGCTATCAAAAAAACTACAGTAATCCTTCTTTACTTTAAGCATCCAATAAAAAGAAAATACTTTGAAGTAACGAATATGAAAGCGATCCTCGCGGTTATGAATACTACTGAGCTAGTAGTGAAAATAAGGCCTGAAAGAAATTCAGGCCCGCACGAGATTTGAACCCACGACCTCTCCCACTCTGACCCATGACCTCAGGTCTTATTTTCACTACTAGTTCAGTAGTATTCATATCTGCGAGGATTGCTTTCATAATCGTCTCTTCAACCGCAGTTCACATATGTATGATTTTCTTGTATTTGCAGTCATATATACCCTAAAGTCTTTGAAGTACAACTGGATATAACACAGTTCTTATTAACCTTGCAAATTCTTACTTAATATATAACTTAACTTAGATATTTAACAGGCTTTAATGTTTCTACCTCAGTCGGCGATATCTAGGAGAGAAAAATTTTGTAATGAGTTTTGAAAAAAAATCGTTTTGTCCCCATGTATCGTAATAGCTCATTGCAAATAATATGCATGCCCTGTGTCACACATGAACCGAGGCCTGGCCTAGATCATAATGGAGCTCTCTGCATCTCGGTGGCAGTGGACTCAAGAAGTGCATTTCTTTTGTGCTTTAGCTGCTTCCTTCATGTTTTACAACAGAACAGAGCATAGTTAAGGCTTCTCTATTTATTAAATGTTATATGTTCATATCACGTTTTAATTTGGTTTATGTACGTCTAATAAAGAGTAGCTCAAATTAATTGTTCTGTTAGATGGCGGGCGGGGGGGTGGGAGGGAAGAGGGGCAACTCATTAAAGGGGGTTGCACATATCCAGACCCCTCTTCTTCCTAAGCTCCACCCTAAGCTGGGTGTGTCCATTCGAGTCCCTTCCCTCTTTATCCTTTACCTCTCTAGACATGCGTCAACCATATTCAAAACCGTATTCAAATAAAAAATTATTGTTTCAAATAATTTTAATAATCAACTTACCTTATCCGGCAAATTATTAACGAATATACACCACAAACAAATCTGCGACTCCAACATTTTCTGTGCGATTAAAAAATAATGACTATCATTTTTAGTGATATAAATAGTACTTTTAGTTGTGTAAATTTTGTGTTCGATAATATAAAAAGGTAGCTATTCCTGTCCACTTTTTCCAGGTCAAATTCTTAATTAAGAATGTTGGTTTTTTGCGGAGGGAGAAAGACCGAAGGACCCCGAGAAAAAAACTCCGGCGTAAGTTGACATCAGGCCAGGGAATCGAACCCGGGCCAGAGCGGAAGCCATCCCCAGTCCGCCGACATCCTGGGAGTAGAGACGACTTTTCTTCCAACGCAAAGTAGCGATAAAATTGAAATAAGGACACAAGCTAAATCCTCGAAAGTAAAAGCTCTAATTAAAAGTTTTAACCTCCCGCGTGAAAAAAAAAATAAAGTTGTTGTTGTTGTGACCGATACATCTATTTGCAAAGGCCGAAAAACACTATTCTTATCTCAATAGAATGCGAATACGCTCGCATCTAAAATGCGAAAGCGGTGTTTTGGAGCTCTTTTTGATTGAATGTCCTAAACACAAATGCAAAGTAATCAAAGCAACCAATTGCATCGAAGGGGAAGTTTCAGCGGGAGCCAATCAGAACGTGGAGTAAAAAAAACTGCTTGGAGCGCGGGAAAACGCGAGTCATCAAGTTAAGGTTGGTTTTTGATTTGAATCTGATTGGTTGAGATAGTGGCGCGAGTTCTCCGGACCAATCACACTGCGAGGTTTTTGATTAGCTTGCAGCAGTGATTTTGCAACACTCGACTAAAGAATACAATAGCTTGTTCGCGAATCTTACCGTAATGATTCCAATTTGTGTAATTCGTCCTGTTACTGTACAAAGCAGTAAAAGCAGGAAAACGTTTTTCCCATTCACAGTCACTAGAGATAATGGCCAGCCATCCTCCATCATTCAGGCAGCCGCCATGACTTTTGGAAATGTAGAAATCCCTTCCATTGCAACAGCCCTCGATCGAGAAGACGTTCGGGGTCTCGTTTTTCAAATCTGTCCAAGGGGAGTGAACGACCCGACTTTTAGAAAACCAGTTTTTGTCGTCAGAATTAGTCGAGTTGAATACGATAGAAAGGGTCTCGAGATCTGAGCCATTCCGTCTGTACAAAGCTATCAGCACCTACAAAAAACAAATTACATCGGTAAGGGACTAGTCAATGGAGAGTAAAGGAGAGACTTTAGACATGGGAATCATCAAAATTCTACAGAGCCTTATAAGGGATTAGGTTAATTTTATCGTGACAACCAAATTCCTCTCTCTCTCACTCTTCCCCCTTCCCCCCCCCCCCCCCCAAGAGGACCCTCTGAGAGGTTCTCGGTCAATAATGGCGATGGAAAAAGTGACCATGAGAAGAAAAGGGGGACTGGTACAGATTTCTAAAATGGTTTCAGTTTTAAATCTGATTGGCAACATAGATGATGCGATCTTTTTAAACCAATCAGAAAATGGAATATAAATGAGGTAAAGTTTCTCAGGTCCAGCTCATTTTCGGCACTGGACCATTGCTTTACTACGCATTAAAGCGCATTAAATGGATTCTGAATACACGTCATAAGAAGTGTTTGATAACCCTTTCAATATCGAGATCTCATTAGTAATTCTCCTTACTGTCTGCCATACATGATGTGAGTTTGGAGAATTTGGTGTTGGATCGACTAATAATCCAACTCGTTAACTGATACTTTTTTAATTTTCTCATCACTTGGGTGCGTGGTATTGTATCCATATTTGAAGGGGAAGTTATGTCTGAGTCACTCATAAGTCAATAAGAACTTGTCATGGGCGACTAAGACATACTTACCTCTTTGGGTTTTGCAAGGTGCCAATTTGGCACAAAGCGGTTCTTGTAATGTGCTCTGAAGGAAGAATCGATGTTCAATGCCTTTGATCTGTCTTCATTGATCGTCTCCGATGAAGACCACAGTTGTGAGCTACTTCTACCGTTAGCCGAGACGCCAGATACAACCTTGAAAACCATCGTCCAACCTGTATACAAAATAAATTGTTTTCCGCGAATACTAGAGCTTAGTACACCCAAGCATTTTTCCGCCATGCGCCCGGCGCTAGAGTCTGAAATGCACCAGAAAGGGAGGCTTTTCATGTCTTGGGTGTCATCTTTCATGCTTAAAAATTAGCTTGATGGGTTGCCTATGCAATCTCTCTCTCTTTCTCCACTTCTTACATATGTGGACATCTGAGAGAACTTTTTCGATTGAGTGTCGAAAAAAAAAACCGAAATCAAAGTTTTGACGGCCAATCAAAGGACGAAGAGGGGTGGGGGGAAATAGCCCAAAGGGATAACGAAAGCGCATCATGAAAACAAGCAAAATATCGAGGGCGTAGGAGAACAAAAGTGATCAAAGCGTGATTGGTTTAATTTTGAATCTGATTGGTTGAAAAAGTGGCGTAAGATCTGAGGACCAATCACGCAGAAAAGTAAAGCAACATAAAAGATATCCATGATGACTTTCGATAATCTATTCAAAATTGCGCCAAAAGATGCCGATGGAAAAGAACACTTCTCTTCTTTAAGCGCATAGGTCTTCAAATGCGGTCGTGCATAATAAGGTAAAGTTTTTTTTAATATTACCTCCTCCTCGGCTGGACTGATCGCAGTACACGTCGAACACTTGGGAATTGTTAAAAAAAATTTTGTAGACACCATTGTCTGTGAAGCCAGCCTCCAGCAGCTCCGCGCAGCTCTTGGCCGCTAAAATAAAAAGTTGAGAAGACACAAATTTGCTAAGATAAATTCTCTTACTGGGCACGAAGTTCCTCTTAATATCTGTGGAATAGTAATACCTCTTTTTTGTCATTCTCTTTCGTCCCGTCAGAAAACAGAATAAAGTTGTAGCTCCTTTTTTAAGAGGACTCCTAGTCTTAAGATCTGGATTCGAACCCATGTGGTAACAGATATAACACTTTTCTCCAATGGCCCCCTCTCCCCGTCTAGGAGAATAAATGCTCACCAGCAACTTTGAAGCAGCGATGTAAGGATGGAGTAAATATCTTATTTTTATTCCGCTTTATTCGAGCCATCTTCTCAGCAACATTTGCTTCATCTGAAATATGCAGGCATACTTACACTTCTCACATTGCTTCCCAAAGAAACCTGGTGGGCAGGCGCATTTGAAGTCGTATACCATCTCCACTGGGTGACAGGTCCCTCCATTCTCGCACGGATTGAGCTCGCACGGGGCCTGGGGAGAAACAAAAATCTGACTTAGGTGAGGGTGACGGAAGTCTGGGTTCCCAAGGGCTCAGAGTTGTTGTGGTATCCTCACAAAGCTAGGCAAGCGGAAGGCGAAACAGGTTCGGGAACTCTGAAATGTCGTAACATCGCGCTGATTTCTCATGGCCGATAGCAGTCACTGAGGTCGATTTTCCTGTTCGACAATACATCGATCTACCGGCGAGATATCGATTCTTTGCAACAAAGGCAGTGACTTTCTTTTCTGAATACAGCTATTTATTTTTTTTGACAAATAATTGGAAAAAAGGAGAAGGCCAAATACAAGACATGAGGCAAATTATAAATTATACATTATTTGCAGTTTAGGAAGAAAATGCGATTCATGAGTCAACACATTGTGCAAATATCGCTGTAATGAAAAATAATGAAACCTGCTAAAAACGGGGCCGTTGAGTAATTACAAAATTCAGCAGCTAAAAGAAAATTTTCCCTTTTTCGCCATCACAAATGTCAATTTATTTTGATGCATTTATAACTAGATTTGCAGTCAGCATTCTTCAATCTGTTCACGTTTTATCATAATGTCAAATGGAAGAAAGACAGCTTTCTCAAAATAACATAAATAATTAATCAAATCCGAACGAAACGTATTACACATATGGCGTTGGTCTAACGTTAGAGAAATGATATTGTTAAAAAAAACTTAACCGAAAAATCTCGCATCCATAAAGATATTAACTCGAAGTTTGTTATCTATGTCTTGCACAAATGCGAACTGGGCTGGTTTATAGGAAGAACCTCAGAGCATATACGTAAATTGCGCAATTTTTTTTTTCGGTTTCCTAAAATTTTAATTCAGGGTGCACTTCATTTTAAAAAGTAGGTTTATTCAAGTTTGAAGAAAAACTAAAAATAATTATATAGTAGCAGATGAATTAAACAATTTTTCCAAAAAAATAGATAGAGATCCTTTCTAACAAAACTACATGCTGTCTTTATAGATAGCACAACGGACATGCACACACAAAAGTATTTACAAAAGGATTTTTTTATCAAAATACTCACCGTCACGCTGAAGTGATGAAAATCCAAAGTTGCACCAAATAGCTTCAACGACTTAAATTTGTCAGTATCTAAGAGGTTACAGAGAAATTTTCCATGTACTTTAGAACCTTTGAAATTCAACGACCGACATCGAGGGTTCTCTGTACAAGCTTGAAGGCAGTCTTGTTCTCCATAAACGAAGAGAGATTCAAATGGTGTAGCGTTCAGTAGATAATTAGGAAACGAGAAAAGATTGGCGAAGCTTAAAATTCCGTTAGAAACATCGACAGAGCTTTTGTAATCGGTAAATATTGCTTCTTTAAACTGAAATAAGAAAATAGAAACAAAAATTGTGCAATACAGCTTAAAGGTCATGTTTTTGCAGTTGCAGTTGAGTTGTTCGATTCAGACAGATGAAATTGGACTGTTCAGTGTAATCTCAGCCAAGAACATTAATTAAGTTACCATGGTAATAAAGATTGTTTATAATTAAGCATAAGGATAATTTTTACCGTGTTTACAAACCTAAATGAAAACTTAAACGAGGTCGAGAGCCATACAGACAGTAATGAAACCCCGACACGCTGTTAGAGGATTGCAAAATTTTTCGAGAATTCTCCAAGACCTTCGAGAGTTTACAGAAGGCTTTGTGAAGGCAGGAAAATGCTTTCGTGACTTTCTAAAATATTTCTCAGTAAGACACACGACTTAAGAGAGTGTCTCAGTAAGAGCGGTCCGGTCGATTTTGCTTGAGACACGGATTTCGCTCGTTTCTCGTGTGTTGTAAGACATTCATGTACCTATACTAAAACCACAATCAGTTTGATCGTATCTCTTTATTTTTCAGAGTTTTACGGAAATTAAATTTCACTCGAGCGAAGGCTTGTCGTGACACTTTTCAAGACTTTAATTTCATACAACTTTGGAGGACAATTTACAAAAAAACTACGGAACTCAGCAAAAAACAAATATCACAGCCATGTATATTAACTCTATCTTATCTATCGAGGCGACTTTCGTAAACATCACGTTTCAATCAAGGAAACAAGGAGACTTGAATGACACCTTATCGGTTCGCCTAACACCACATTGTGTAAACACATTCTCATCCAAACACACTTATCGACCAATGAAAGCGCGCATAATATCTTAAATATTTCATAAAAATACTTGGGTATTAGCATATAACGGGTTTTTAGCCAATTTTGAGTCAGTTGTTAATGATATAAGAAGCTCCCATTAACTGAGAGCAGGTGAACGAGTGGTGATGATTCTCACGCAATTCGCGTGGGTCGCACAGCATCCGCAAGTTTTACATCCGTAGTTAGTAGTTATTAATGATTTTGACTGCTTTTGCTCATGTTTGTACAGGTAATCACATGATTTCGAGTGCAATTTTATTTGGAATAAATAAACACGTGTAAATTTTTTCAAAAATCAACAAAATTGCACGAGCCCGTAGGAAATTCAAGGAATTGTTCAGTCTGGTTTGTTATTTCTTTGCACTGAATTAACCCTCTTCTGCCTTGAATTACCTGAAAATTGCATTCATCTTAACCAATCAGAACTGAGTAATTTTTTCATGTATCTGTAATGAAATCCCTTCAAAAGAATCATCTAGACCACAAGTTCACTCATCTAAGAAGATTTACCACTGAATTAAAGCTATTAGCATTACATTGATCAAATTTCATCAGTTTGAGCTGAGCTGAGACCTTACGCGTGATGAAAAGTATGTCAGCTAATTTACATCACTAATTGCTGATATTTATCATCTGAATAAAATTCAATGGACCAAAACATTTGACCTAATAAGCTGTTTTTCTAAGTTAGGTGTGAGGCCTATTTGTAACTATTGTCATGAGGTGGAATTCTTGTTATTAAATTCACTAAAGGCAGTTTTACAATTAAGTATATTAGTTGTTTATTATCACCTGTTTCACCTACGTGCGAGTTTGTCTTAGCATTAGTTTTAACTGAGACATCCTCTGAATACCAAAATATCAAACTAGCGCCATTATTTTTTCCGTACGCATTTCAAAACTTCACGTGAACAGGAGGTCGTTTGTAGTTGTTATGTTTAGCTCTTACAACCTCTCTCTTATCGGAAAAAATGATGGTCTGAAATTGGACCCAGTCATACAAACGTTGGTCAAATTTATGAATTCTAACCCATGACCTCTAACCCATGACCTCTCGTGACCTCTGGGTTCTGAATTATTTTCAGTTCTTATTTTCACTACTAGTTCAGTAGTATTCGTATCTGCGAGGATTGTTTTTATATTCGTTTCTCCAACCGCAGTTCACATATATATGATTTTCATGTATTTGTAGTCATTTATACTCTAAAGTCTTTGAAGCACAACTGAATATAACACATTTCTATTTTATCTAGCAAATTCTTACTAAATATATAACTTAACTTAAATATTCAACAGGCTTTGATGTTTCTACCTCAGTCGGCGATATCTAGGAGAAAAAAATATTGTAATGAGTTTTGAAAAAAATCGTTTTGTCCCTATCTATCGTGATAGCTCATTGTATATATTATGTATGACCTGCGTCACATATGAACCGAAGCCTGGCAGAGATCATAATGAAGCTCTCTGTATCTTGGTGGCAGTGGACTCAAGAAGTGCTCTTCTTTTGTGGTTTAGCTGCTTCCTTCATGTTTTACAACAGAACAGAGCATAGTTAAAGCTTCTCTATTTGTTAAATGTTACGTGTTCATATTACGTTTTAATTTGGTTTATCTAAGTTCAATAGAGCGTAGCTCAAATTAATTGTTCGGTTAGATGAGGGGAGGGGGGGGTGGGAGGTGGGAGAGAAGAAAGGGCAACTCATGAAAGGGGGTTGCACATATCCAGACCCCCTCCTCTTCTTAAGTTGGGTGTGTTCATTCGAGTCCCTTTCCTCTTTGTCCTTTACCTCTCTAGATATGCGTCAACCATATTCAAAACCATATTCAGATAAAAATTCATTGTTTCAAATAATTATAATAATCAACTTACCTTATCTGGTAAATTATTAACGAATATACACCACAAACAAATCTGCGACTCCAACATTTTCTGTGCGATTAAAAAATAATGACTATCATTCTTAGTGGTATAAATAGTACAATTAGATTTGTAATTTTGTGTTCGATAATATAAAAGGTAGCTATTCCTGTCCACTTTTTCCACGTCAAACTTCAATTTAGAATGTTGGTTTTTTGCGGAGGGAGAAAGACCGAAAGACCCCAAGAAAAAACTCCAGAGTAAGTTGACATCAGGCTGGGAAATGGAACCCAGGCCAGAGCGGTGGGAGAACAAAGCCATACCCAGTCCCCTAACGTCCTAGAAGTAGAAACGACTTTTCCTCCAACGCTAAGTAGCGATAAAATTGAAATAAGGACATAAGCTAAATCCTCGAAAGTAAAAACCATAATTAAAAGTTTTAACCTTCCACGTGATCGATACATCTATTTGCAAAGGCAGAGAAACACTATTCTTTCCTCAATGAAATGCGAATACGCTCGCATCTAAAATGCGAAAGCGGTGTTTTGGAGCTCTTTTCGATTGAATGTCCTAAACACAAATGCGAAGTAATCACAGCAACCAATTGCATCGAAGGGGAAGTTTCAGCGGAAGCCAATCAGAACGTAGAGTGAAAAATAAACTGCTTGGAGCGCGGGAGAACGCGAGTCATCAAGTTACGGTTGGTTTTTGATTTGAATCTGATTGGTTGAGATAGTGGCGCGAGTTTTCTGGACCAATCACATCGCGAGGTTTTTGATTAGCTTGCAGCAGTGATTTTGCAACACTGGACTAAAGAATGCAATAGCTTGTTCGCGAATCTTACCGTGATGATTCCAATTTGTGTAAGTCGTCCTGTTACTGTACAAAACAGTGGAGGGAGGAAAACGTTTTTCCCATGGACAATTACTAGAGATAATGGCCAGCCATCCTTCATCATTCGGGCAAAGGTTGTGAATTTTGGAAATGTAGAAATTCCTTCCATTGCAACAGCCCTTGATCGAGAAGTAGTTTTGGCGCTCGCTTTCCAAATCTGTCCAGGGGGAGTGAACGATCCGACTTTTAGAAAACCAGTTTTTGTCGTCAGAATTAGTAGAGTTGAATACGATAGAAAGGGTCTCGGGATCTGAGCCATTCCGTTTGTACAAAGCTATCTGCACCTACAAAAAACAAATTACATCCGTAAAGGACTAGTCATTTTTTATTAGGGAGGGGGGAAACTGAGTCAGTCGTCGCCAATGGAGAGACATTAGACAGGGGAATCAACAAAATACTACAGAGCCTTACGGGGAATTACGTTGATTTTATCGTGACAATTAAATTCCTCTCTCTCTCTCTCTCTCTCTCTCACTCTTTCTCTCTCTCTCTCTCTCTCTCTCTCTCTCTCTCTCTCTCCTTTCCTCCTCCCACCCTCCCCCCCCACCCCCTATACAGTACATAATGAGCGTCCCTAAGAGGACCCTCTGAGAGGTTCTCGGTCAATAATGGCGGTGGAAAAAATGAGCATGCAAAGAGAAAAGCGGGCTGGCCCAGATATCTAAAATGGTTTCAGGTTTAAATATGATTGGCGACATAGATGATGCGATCTTTTTAAACCAATCAGAAAATGGAATATAAATGAGGTAAGGCTTATCAGTCCCAGACAATTTTCGACATGGACCATTGCTTTCGTACACATTAAATGAATTCTGAATACGTGTCATAAGAAGTCTCAAATAACCTTTTCACTACCGAGATCTCATTAGTAATTCTCCTTACTGTCTGCCATACATTTCCTATGGTGTGAGTTTGGAGAATTTGGTGTTGGATCGACTAATAATTCCGGCTGTTAACTGATACTTTTTTTATTTTCTCATCACTTGGGTGCTTGGTATTGTATCCATATTTGAAGGAGAAGTTATGTCTGAGTTACTCATAAGTCAACTATATATGACAATGAGAACTTGTCATGGGCGAATAAGACAGACTTACCTCTTTGGGTTTTGCAAGGTGCCAATTTGGCACAAAGCGATTCTTGTAATGTTCTTTGAATGAAGAATCGATGTTCAGTGCCTCTGATCTATTTTCATTGATCGTCTCCGATGAAAACCACAGTTGTGAGATGCTACTACCGTTAACCGAGACGCCAGATACAACCTTGAAAACCATTGTCCAACCTGTATACAAAATAGATTGTTTTCCGCGAAAACTAGAGCTTAGTACACCCAAGCTTTTTTCCGCCATGCGCCCGGCGCTTGAGTCTCATATGCACCACCTGGAAAGCGTGCAAGCAGGCCAACATTATCAGCGCTAAGCGCACGACCGTTAGTGCGCCCGCGGGAAAATATGAGGTTATAAGCTATGCGAGCATGCGTGAAACCAGGAAAGGGAAGTTTTTCGTGTCTTGGATGAGAGCTCTAAGTCAAAACAAGCAAAACATCTAGGGCGTAGGAGAACAGAAGTGATCAAAGCGTGATTGGATTAAATTTAAAATCTGATTGTTTGACAAAGTGGTGCAAGCTTTGAGGACCAATCACGCAGCAAAGTAAAGCAAAATAAAAGATATCCAAGATGACCTTCGACACTTCACCGAAAATTGCGCCAAAAGATGCCGATGGGAAAGAACACTTCTCTTCTTTAAGCGCATAGGTCTTCAAAGCAGTTTTTCTAAGGAATTTCATGCATAATAAGGTAAAGTTTTTTTAAATATTACCTCCTCCCCGGCTGGACTGATCGCAGTACACGTCGAACGCTTGGGAATTGTTAAAAAGAATTTTGTAGACACCATTGTTTGTGAAGCCAGCGTCTAGCAGCTCAGCGCAGCTCTTGGTCACTAAAATAAAAAGTTGACGAGAAAGAAGTTTACTGATATACATGCCCTTAAGGGACCCCCGAGGGAGTCTGGGGACGGGGTTTCGTTTAATACCTGTGAATTAATAATGTCTCTTTTTTTATCATTCTCTTTCGTCCCGTTAGAGAACGAATAAATTTGTAGCTTATTCTTAACAGGACTCCTAATCTTAAGATCTGGATTCGAACCTATGTGGTAACAGATATGGCGCTTTATTCCAACGGTGCCCCGCTCCATCTGGGAGTATAAATGGTCACCAGCAACTAACAAGCAGCTATGTAAGGAAGGAGTAAATATCTTAGTTTTATTCCACTTTCCTCGAGCCATCTTCTCAGCAGCATTTGCTTTATCTGAAAAATGCAAGCATACTTACAGTTCTCACATTGCTTCCCAAAGAGACCTGGAGGGCAGGCGCATTTGAAGTCGTACGCCATCTCGACTGGGTGACAGGTTCCTCCGTTCTCGCACGGATCGAGCTCGCAAGGGGCCTGGTAAGAACCAACAATCTGACTTAGTAAGGGTATCCTCACAAAGCTAGGCAAGAGGAAGGCGAAACGAGTTCGGGAAGGACATATCAACTCTGAAATGTCGTAACATTGTTATGATTTCTCATAGCCGATGGAAGTCACTAAGGTCGATTATCCTGTTGGACGACAGATCGATTTACCGTCGAGATATCGATTCTTTGCAACTATTATAGAGCAGTGACTTGCTTTTCTGAATACACCGATATTTTTTTGACAAATAATTGCAAGAAAGGAGAAGGCCAAATTTTCCCTTTTTCACCATCAAAAATTTCTATTTATTTCCATGTATTTAGATTTGCACTCAGCATTCCTCGATTTGTTCACGTTTTATCATAATGTCAAATAGAAGAAAGGCAGCTTTCTCAAAATAACATAAATAATTAATTAAAAGTATTATATGTAAGGCGTTGGTAGAAAGATATTGTCATATGTTGTGATATTGTCTGAAAAACTTAACTGAAAAATGTCACACCCATAAATATATTAAGTCGAAGTTTATTATCGATGTCTTGCGCAAACTTGAGCGAACTGGGCTGGTTTATAAAGACGACTTCAGCGCATATACGTAAATTACGCAAATTTTCCTCAATTTTAATTCAGGGCGCACTTCATTTTAAAAAGTAGATTTATTCGAGTTTGAAGAAAAACTGAAAATAACTAAATTGTAGGAGATGAATTAAACAATTTTTCCAAAATTTGAGCTCCTTTCTGACAAAACTAGCTGCTGTCTTTCTAGATAGCACAGCGCACATACACGCACAAAAATATTTATAAAATAACTTTTTTTTATCAAAATACTCACTGTTGCACTAAAGTGATGAAAATCCAAACTTGGAACAAATAGCTTCAACGACTTAAATTTGTCAGTGTCCAAGAGTTCACAGAGCAACTTTCCATGTAATTGAGAACCTTCTTTGAAGTTCAACGATCGACATCGAGGGTTCTCTGTACAAGCTTGAAGGCAGTCTTGTTCCCCATAAACGAAGAGAGATACAAATGGTGTAGCGTTCAGTAGATAATTAGGAAACGAGAAAAGATTAGCGAAGTCTAAAATTCCGTCAGAAACATCAAGAGAGCTTTTGTAATCAGTAAATATTGCTTCTTTAAACTGAAATAAGAAAATAGAAACAAAAATTGTGCAATACAGCTTTAAGGTCATGTTCTTGCGGTTGCAGTTGAGTTGTTTGGCTCAGACAGATGAAACAAGGAGCTCAAATTTTGGAAAAATTGTTTAATTCATCTCCTACAATTTAGTTATTTTCAGTTTTTCTTCAAACTCGAATAAATCTACTTTTTAAAATGAAGAGCGCCCTGAATTAAAATTGAGGAAAATTTGCGTAATTTACCTATATGCACAGAAGTTGTCTTTATAAACCAGCCCAGTTCGCACAAGTTTGCGCAAGACATCGATAATAAACTTCGACTTAATATATTTATGGGTGTGACATTTTTCAGTTAAGTTTTTCTGAAAATATCACAACATATGACAATATCTTTCTACCAACGCCTTACATATAATACTTTTAATTAATTATTTATGTTATTTTGAGAAAGCTGCCTTTCTTCTATTTGACATTATGACAAAACGTGAACAAATCGAGGAATGCTGAGTGCAAATCTAAATACATGGAAATAAATAGAAATTTTTGATGGTGAAAAAGGGAAAATTTGGCCTTCTCCTTTCTTGCAATTATTTGTCAAAAAAATACAGGTGTATTCAGAAAAGCAAGTCACTGCTCTATACTAGTTGCAAAGAATCGATATCTCGACGGTAAATCGATCTGTCGTCGAACAGGATAATCCACCTTAGTGACTTCCATCGGCTATGAGAAATCATAACAATGTTACGACATTTCAGAGTTGATATGTCCTTCCCGAACTCGTTTCGCCTTCCGCTTGCCTAGCTTTGTGAGGATACCCTTACTAAGTCAGATTGGCCGCAAATGACACTACAAGGGCGCAAATAAACAATATTCCCGAAAAAAGTCATGTCATTATCATTATTATCAATAAACAAGGCCAAATGATATTAAGAATGCGAGTTTTAATAATACAAGCTAAGTGAATGACGAATTCAAAGTCACTTCAAATCATCATGTAAGTGTTGATTGAACAAGCTATTAAAGAATCAACTCAGTCCAGTGAACTTATTGAAAATTACCGAAAAAATGCTTAAAATTGTCTATAAATAATAGGCATATCACAAAGTTAACCTTAAAAATGTCCATGCTGGTACCAGAATCATCTCAAAGTTAACGGATCAGCTGTAGGGCTGATAATGCATTAGCAGCCCGCTGTCAGTCTTTTGCGGCCCGCTGAGCGTGTGTTTTGAAGAGGCCGATTTTCTATTTGGCCGCGTATATTGATAATAATTACCGGTATTTATCATCTGAATGAAATTCAAACTTGCCCATAGTCTCCGAAAATCAATGGACCAAAACATTTGACGTATTAAGCTGTTTTTCTAGTTTTAAGTGTTAGGTCTATTTGTAACTATTGTCACGAGGTGGAATTCCTGTTGTTAAATTCATGAAAGGCGATTTTACAGTTTTACAATTAAGTAAATTTTTTGTTTTTTACCTGCTGTTTCAACTTCTGGGAGTTTGTCCTAATTGCTATACAGGTGGGCATTTTTGTTAAGATAGCACCAGTTTTAATTGAGACATCCTCTGAATACCAAAATATCAAACTAGCGCCATTATTTTTTTCTGCACGCATCTTTCAAAAGTTCACGTGAACAGGAGATCGTTTGTAGTTGTTATGTTGAGCTCTTACAACCTCTTCCTTATCGGAATCAAAGTGCTCTGTGAGCAAACTCGTGAACTGACACAAATATTAGAAAATCAAGGAAATACTGTCTTAATGAAAACATTAACGATTCCCTCTTTATCAAATGAGACAAACGGGAACGAGTTTTGAGTGATATAACTAAGCCAAGCCTGCCACCGTCATTTTGGATCTCCGCCTGGGTAGATTTAAGTCATGTGCTAGGAAACGTATACTCTATAACAAGATAGATTTTCATTTCAGGCCTATTTATCAATTTTGTGGTGTATAACTTTCGCATTTTAGTATGTTGTATGTATGTTGAATCTTCAAATTTTCTTGAAACTTAAAAGAAAATTTTTCTTTAAAAATTCACCGAAAATCGGTGGCTAAAATTGTTTGTTTAGGTGTTATTTGATTTTCGTGTTAACTTGTAATTTCGTCAGTCGCCGGCTTCTTTTGTTACTTCACACAGGAAAAACACACGCGACGAAACGTAATGATCAATTTTGTCCTCAATCTCACGCCATAACAGAAAAAGCTTTTGAACATCTGTAAACTCCGAGCACTTCGCAGTTAGTAATATTTTCAATGAATCTTCGGATTGTTTTCAAGTTCAAGGATTGTAAATTACAATTTTATGAAAAACGGAGGTTGTTCTGTTATTTCAGTGTGAACCTTGCATGCCTGCCAGTCGCTGGCACCGCTTGTTGAAACTAAAACGAAAAAAAAAAAACTCTTTTAAGATTATCATTGGCTTCTTTTTCACCCCACCACTATTCTTAGTAACAAAGGTCGCCATTTCGTTTGTTTATTGCTTGCCAAAAACTATCAAATGCGCTCAAAAGCCTAAAATCGAAAAAAATTTTGCAGGAATCGACCAATCGAGCGAGCGAGCGAGCGAGCGAGTGCCATTCCCCACATCGTATCTACAACTCGCTCTTGCGCATGCGCGCAATCCACGAGTTAAAAATGATGGTCAGTCACACGTTGGTCAAATATATGAATTCAAAATTATCAATTCTCTTCTGAAACAACACTTGGCAATATGTAAATTTGCCAAATTACCAGATATCAAGGTTGTAAGTTCCTTTTGTAGCCTATCACTTAGATTATGAGCTTGAGAATTCTATCTCGTGATATTTGATAAAACTTGATCGGGGGCGAAGGCCGAATTCACCATCATACAAAGGTATCGAGATCGAATTATCCAACTGTCTTAGTATAAATATATCAGCCGTCAAAAAAAATAACAACGAAACATGCTCGACCACACAAAGTTATTCACTTCATCCACTATTATGGATAAGACAGCCAATCCGATTACAGCGTTTGTGATAGAACGCTGATATTCATTAGCTTACAGTTTTCCCTCTCCACCCCACCCTCCCCTAATTTATCTCATTTTCCCGCGAGTTCTATTGTTGTCAGCGGTCTACTTGATTTCGATCATGTGATCAACGCCCGCCAAAACAGAATCGAGCTCCAAAGGGAAAACTTGTGACTGAAAACATAGAAGTTTATTCATTTATGCTGTCTTTTACGACCTTTTATGAACGATAGATCGGTTACCTGAGTAAGGAGGTTAGTAAAGATGTTTACTGGATTAGATATCAGGTAAAAAAAGAGCAGAATCCAGCAAATGACTTAGTTGAGAGGTCTTTGGCAAATGTATGTATATGTCATGTCGTCCTCTGGACAATGCAGCCCTGAATTTATCTTAAAACCGTGCTCCTGCACATGTTTTCGACCTTCTTTAAGCTCCTTGAAGTCTATCGTCGTCTTATACAATGTGGATATCACTCTAATGTCTTCCAGATAGCTTTTAAATGCGTTTGAATCAGCTAAAAATCGCCGAGTACAAATCAAGTTCTAAATATATCTAACTTAGATACTGTGAGAACTCGATCCGTTGTGCCTGCATGCTTTAAACTACCCTTGACACGCTGATCCACAACATCAGACTGTAATTTTTTGGCGATAATTATTTTGAGGTTGGTGATATGCAATAGTGTTCTTTCTTGACGTGCGACTGAATCAACAAGTCGTACATTGTTCAAAGCAGCAAAATTGTTTACCTGTAATGTAGATATTCTACACCTGGTTCGAACACCTTTTAATTGAGAAGCTGTTTCCCAGTCAACTCCATCACATTAATCACAATCAGTTTAAATCTCTGACACAAATTTAAATCTAATTAAAGTTTGTTTTTTTAACCTTTTAAATGCTACTCTCAGATGATGTAACTTCTCAGTATAATATCCATGTAGTATTCAGCAAAAAGGTAATGAGGATCCTAAAAATTATCGGAAGTTGTCACCTTGATTCAACACCAAATTCTTGTGACTAACTTACCAGGAAATGTGTAGTAACTAGTGAGGAGAATTGATAATTAGATTGTGGGAGTTAAAGGGTTAAAATAATCAAAACAAAGTATCTAGTTATGAAATTTGTCCCGTTTGAATGAAATAATTTCATTCAAACGGGACAAAAACATAGGCAACTTTTTAGTCAGGAGTTCATTTCAAACCAATAACCAATCTGGAACTTTTAAATGCGCTCGCTCACGATGCAAAACTTGTCCTTTCATTCATAACGTAGAGAAAATATCGGGACCCAAAAGATCCATTAAGATCATTGATCACTTTACGTGTACCTCCGCCAATGTTATTTACTGCATAACTTGCACTTATTGCAATAAGTTATACATCGGCGAGACAGGAAGACGACTGGGTGACCGATTCCGAGAACACCTTCGCGATGTGGAAAGAAATGACAAGGACGCATCCAAGCCAGTTGCTAGACACTTTAATCTTCCTTATCATTCTAAACAGCATATGGCAGTTTGCGGCCTTTCCTTATCTAATTCGGAAAGCCGTAAAACACTTGAACAAAAATTTATATTTCAAATCGGCACCCTTAATCTTATTCTGTTTTAAACCATATTCCCACCAATGGCGTAGAAAACTACATATAAATCCACACACAACCCACAATTCCTCTAATCGCTCTGATAACGCTAAACTTCAGCTTTTTTACCCTTTACGGTGGCTAATAATAACACTAAATTACCTGTATCGTCAGGAACCATGGAGGTTGTTCTGAAGATGCAAAATAAATTGTGACTGGGATATACGGCATCAAACACATTGTACAATAAACTGACGACCTATAATTCCTTCTCACGCACTGGTAAGGGAAAATGAAGGAAATACATGGTAATTATCATATGTACCTCTTGAAAACATCCATTTCGAAATCCCTGCTGACCCTTGCAATCTTAGCGGCTTCTCTGGTGCATTAAATTCACGAAGCGCACAATTTTTTGCTCTAAATCAGTCTTCTTTTTTCAACCGTCAGAACGATTTGTTTAATAAATGACGGCACTTTCGAAGGGGATTCAAAATTTAATTCCCAATTCAAGATTGAAAACGTTTTGAAGAAAGCAACATTTTGAGTATGTTTTGGGCTTGTGTTTCAGCTTATATATTGGAGTTTTGCAGTAATTTAAAGGGCTTTCTAATCTGTTTTTTCTCAGAAAACATGGGCATCGCTGATGTTATGGTGGTATATATTCGTTAAGCAATGATAATGTGTCTTAAATCTGCCGTTCAGCACGTTTACAAGTCTCAGAGTTAAACTATATATAGAAAAACTTTGCCTCCGCCTTAGGATGAAAGCTAGATTATAGTAGGATATATACTCCAGAATTCACAGAAAGAAATTCCAGCATTCAAAACTTTTTTTTGTCGATCAACAGTTGGTAAAAACCTGGATTAAAAGTCGAGGTTTGAGCCAAGGGAAAATTTTCAAACTTGCTATTAATAGAGCTGCTCAATCTATTGATTCATCCAATGCATAAGTAATACTTCCCTCAAGTCAAATGGAGAAAAGTGCTTTTATATTCTTCATTATTATTTAATTTACAAAATTCTTTAGGAGAAAAGTGTTGAATGTTTCAGCTTTTAGGATCACAGAGAACTGAAACTTCAACTTTATTCTTTCTTTCAACGAATCCCTATTTGAATTACATTTAACATTAACCAGTAGGTACATGCACCTTAGAGCAAAACTCAGCCCCACCCTGTTATTTATGACATTTTTCATAACCCCCAAACCTTCTTATTTACAAATAAGATCCTTGGGATTTTTTTCAACTAAATACAAAATACAAATGAGGTATATCAAAGAAACAGGTTGGGCCAACTTAAAATAACCTTAAATGGCAAAATATCTGTTGTAACTGTTTTGCTGTACAAAAGTCACATAAACCACACTTTACACGGAAAATCGTGTTTTTTAATCAGTTTTTAGTTTTCCTTACGCTACAAGAAGTGCAGTGTTGAAAATATTACAACTGCTGTTATCACAAGACTTCAACACTCATGATGTCCTTATATAGAGAGGGTTTATCATACATCTGATTACAAATTAACCTAGGCAGATAGGTTAAGCAAAGTTGAAATCACTGTAAACTTCGGTGGCCTAACTTTTACATTTCTTTGAATTATACTTATATAATACTAAATATTCTATTCAAGGGGCTGGTATGTCAGCTGATAACTAAAAGTCCGCGGCTGACAGATTTTCCATAAAACCAATCATGATTTGGCCAAGAAGCGAAGCTTCGTGAGGAAATGTGAAATTTTGAGTTCTACTGATTTCCTTATGGCGTCGACCATAGCCTTATCGATTTTTTGTTTTGTACCAGTCATAGAGTTACGTGCTATCAAAAAAACCTACGGTAATTCTTCTTTACTTTAAGCATCCAATAAAAAGAAAATTCTCTAAATTAACGAATATGATAGCGATCCTCGCAGCTATGAATACTACTATACTAGTAGTGAAGATCATGCCTGAAAAAAAATCCAGGCCCGTACGGGATTTGAACCCATGACCTCTAACCCATGACCTCTAACCCATGACCTCTCGTGACCTCTGGGTTCAAATCCCGTACGGGCCTGAATTATTTTCAGTTCTTATTTTCAGTACTAGTTCAGTAGTATTCGTATCTGCGAGGATTGTTTTTATATTCGTTTCTTCAACCGCAGTTCACATATATATGATTTTCATGTATTTGCAGTCATTTATACTCTAAAGTCTTTGAAGCACAACTGAATATAACACATTTCTATTTTATCTAGCAAATTCTTACTAAATATATAACTTAACTTAAATATTCAACAGGCTTTGATGTTTTTACCTCAGTCGGCGATATCTAGGAGAAAAAAATATTGTAATGAGTTTTGAAAAAAAATCGTTTTGTCCCTATCTATCGTGATAGCTCATTGTATATATTATGTATGACCTGCATCACATATGAACCGAAGCCTGGCAGAGATCATAATGGAGCTCTCTGTATCTTGGTGGCAGTGGACTCAAGAAGTGCTCTTCTTTTTTGCTTTAGCTGCTTCCTTCATGCTTTACAACAGAACAGAGCATAGTTAAAGCTTCTCTATTTGTTAAATGTTACATGTTCATATTACGTTTTAATTTGGTTTATCTAAGTTCAATAGAGAGTAGCTCAAATTAATTGTTCGGTTAGATGAGGGGAGGGGGGGGGGTGGGAGGTGGGAGAGAAGAAAGGGCAACTCATGAAAGGGGGTTGCACATATCCAGACCCCCTCTTCTTCTTAAGTTGGGTGTGTCCATTCGAGTCCCTTTCCTCTTTGTCCTTTACCTCTCTAGACATGCGTCAACCATATTCAGATAAAAATTCATTGTTTCAAATAATTATAATAATCAACTTACCTTATCTGGTAAATTATTAACGAATATACACCACAAACAAATCTGCGACTCCAACATTTTCTGTGCGATTAAAAAATAATGACTATCATTTTTAGTGGTATAAATAGTACAATTAGCTTTGTAATTTTGTGTTCGATAATATAAAAGATGGCTATTCCTGTCCACTTTTTCCACGTCAAACTTCAATTTAGAATATTGGTTTTTTGCGGAGGGAGAAAGACCGAAAGACCCCAAGAAAAAAACTCCAGAGTAAGTTGGCATCAGGCTGGGAAATGGAACCCAGGCCAGAGCGGTGGGAGAACAAAGCCATACCCAGTCCCCTAACGTCCTAGAAGTAGAAACGACTTTTCCTCCAACGCTAAGTAGCGATAAAATTTAAATAAGGACATAAGCTAAATCCTCGAAAGTAAAAACCATAATTAAAAGTTTTAACCTTCCACGTGATCGATACATCTATTTGCAAAGGCAGAGCAACACTATTCTTTCCTCAATGAAATGCGAATACGCTCGCATCTAAAATGCGAAAGCGGTGTTTTGGAGCTCTTTTCGATTGAATGTCCTAAACACAAATGCGAAGTAATCACAGCAACCAATTGCATCGAAGGGGAAGTTTCAGCGGAAGCCAATCAGAACGTAGAGTGAAAAATAAACTGCTTGGAGCGCGGGAGAACGCGAGTCATCAAGTTACGGTTGGTTTTTGATTTGAATCTGATTGGTTGAGATAGTGGCGCGAGTTTTCTGGACCAATCACATCGCGAGGTTTTTGATTAGCTTGCAGCAGTGATTTTGCAACACTGGACTAAAGAATGCAATAGCTTGTTCGCGAATCTTACCGTGATGATTCCAATTTGTGTAAGTCGTCCTGTTACTGTACAAAACAGTGGAGGGAGGAAAACGTTTTTCCCATGGACAATAACTAGAGATAATGGCCAGCCATCCTTCATCATTCGGGCAATGGTTGTGAATTTTGGAAATGTAGAAATTCCTTCGATTGCAACAGCCCTTGATCGAGAAGTAGTTTTGGCGCTCGCTTTCCAAATCTGTCCAGGGGGAGTGAACGATCCGACTTTTAGAAAACCAGTTTTTGTCGTCAGAATTAGTAGAGTTGAATACGATAGAAAGGGTCTCGGGATCTGAGCCATTCCGTTTGTACAAAGCTATCTGCACCTACAAAAAACAAATTACATCCGTAAAGGACTAGTCATTTTTTATTAGGGAGGGGGGGGAAACTGAGTCAGTCGTCGCCAATGGAGAGACATTAGACAGGGGAATCAACAAAATACTACAGAGCCTTACGGGGAATTACGTTGATTTTATCGTGACAATTAAATTCCTCTCTCTCTCTCTCTCTCTCTCTCTCTCTCTCTCTCTCTCTCTCTCTCTCTCTCTCTCTCTCTCTCTCTCTCTCTCTCTCTCTCTCTCTCTCTCTCTCTCTCTCTCTCTCTCTCTCTCTCTCTCTCTCTCTCTCCTTTCCCCCTCCCACCCTCCCCCCCCCTATACAGTACATAATGAGCGTCCCTAAGAGGACCCTCTGAGAGGTTCTCGGTCAATAATGGCGGTGGAAAAAATGAGCATGCAAAGAGAAAAGCGGGCTGGCCCAGATATCTAAAATGGTTTCAGGTTTAAATATGATTGGCGACATAGATGATGCGATCTTTTTAAACCAATCAGAAAATGGAATATAAATGAGGTAAGGCTTATCAGTCCCAGACAATTTTCGACATGGACCATTGCTTTCGTACACATTAAATGAATTCTGAATACGTGTCATAAGAAGTCTCAAATAACCTTTTCACTACCGAGATCTCATTAGTAATTCTCCTTACTGTCTGCCATACATTTCCTATGGTGTGAGTTTGGAGAATTTGGTGTTGGATCGACAAATAATTCCGGCTGTTAACTGATACTTTTTTTATTTTCTCATCACTTGGGTGCTTGGTATTGTATCCATATTTGAAGGAGAAGTTATGTCTGAGTTACTCATAAGTCAACTATATATGACAATGAGAACTTGTCATGGGCGAATAAGACAGACTTACCTCTTTGGGTTTTGCAAGGTGCCAATTTGGCACAAAGCGATTCTTGTAATGTTCTTTGAATGAAGAATCGATGTTCAGTGCCTCTGATCTATTTTCATTGATCGTCTCCGATGAAAACCACAGTTGTGAGATGCTACTACCGTTAACCGAGACGCCAGATACAACCTTGAAAACCATTGTCCAACCTGTATACAAAATAGATTGTTTTCCGCGAAAACTAGAGCTTAGTACACCCAAGCTTTTTTCCGCCATGCGCCCGGCGCTTGAGTCTCATATGCACCACCTGGAAAGCGTGCAAGCAGGCCAACATTATCAGCGCTAAGCGCACGACCGTTAGTGCGCCCGCGGGAAAATATGAGG